CCTTCCCCCCCTCCCCCCAAATAAAACTAGAGTAACCAGGGAAAACACCAGTGCATCACATCCATAGCAATGACTGCAGTGCCATGTTCTCTCTCACAGAGTAATATACAAATGCATGTTAATAAGCATCTTTTGGCAAAAGCCTTAGTAATTTTTCTTCTCTTCTGCCATTTCTGCTCCTTTTTTGCCCACCAAAACAGCTCAGCTATTTTCTTATATTTTCACAGTTAAGACAAGCTGATATGCATAAAAATATTCTGTTACAGAACACCTGAACTGTTTTTCTTTGTGCATTTAAAAATAAACAGTCACTTTAAGGAGAAACACAAAAGGGTTATTAAAATGCTAAAAAAACCCCAATGCAATTCAGCTTAAAGGGGTAGTTGCTGCAGTATTTTATATATATGGAAATTACAATGATGTACCAAAGTTATATGTGTATTCTTTGCTTCAGCAAAACAATGAAATCAGAGAAAATGGGAAAATAACTGTACTTGATGTTGTCACATTATTTACTTTACTTCTATGGCAAACCCCCATCCCTGATGTTTATCTGTCTTTTCCATTTAGATTGTAAACAGGTTTGGGCAGGGATTTTCTGCCACTTTGTGTCTAGAAAAATGCGATCCCATTCTTAAGACAATCTGTAGGCACTGCTGCAATAAATGTCATCATTAACATCAAAATGTATGGATTTGCAAAACTCGTTATTTTTTCCTATTTTTATCCAGACTTTAAGACCACAGTTGTTTTAATAACAGTACGTACAGTCTTACTGTTACTAAAAATACGATGTTAAAGCAAACATATCCTATCTTCATGAAACTTCAGAATTTTAATCTCTCCACGTCACATATATATACATATATATAAAAACTTCTTTCAAAGGCCAGATACTACTTGTGAAAACAGTTCCACTGAATCAAACTTTTAGTACATTGTAAGCAGAGATTATTCTTTCTGAAGATATTAGTTTCAATCAGAAGTATTTCTATATTTATTAAAATAACATGCACATAATATTTTACACCTTTCAGAGCACATATGCTTACAGAGCATGTGGTCTGTATAACTATACACATTATATATATTTATTTATAGATTTAGCGATACATAGAGTGCTTATATATATGTATTTAATATATATCTCTCTCTCTCTACATAAGTAGTGCATATGTTTAGATAAATAATTGCAGGGGAGACAGCCCTTTGGGAAAGGCCAGACACTGCAGGCAAATAATTGATTTACAACAACAACAAAAAGAAGAGATTAAACTTCTTCCTTCCTGAACTTGTTCAAAGAGTAAGTCATACAGAAATATTTTTTGTATCTTTTAATCTATTAAGCTGGATATCTTAATTAGCCAAAACCTCTGAAAGGCTTCAAATGAGTGAGAAAGAACAAGAGATATACTTTTATTCTAGAAAATATAAATGAGGCAACACATACAAGAAGAATAATGATGCCCAATAAAAATGAAGTTCAATAACATTGAAACCTTCCAACATTAAGAGTGCTGTATATATAACAGACATTCCCTTACAGTTAAAACCTGTTTCTATATCCCTGAAGTTGCATACTAAGGCTTAAACCTGTCAAAAAAATTAATAACCCCCTTTCTGCAGCTTAAATCAGCCCAGAGGTAGATATATGAAAGACAGAAGTAAATACACTTTTTGTGCATATTTATCTAACATCAAGACAATATAAATGTAACTTTGCACATTATGTGAGCAATGCTATCACACAGATAGTAAATGTATCATTTCTATTTTATTCAGACACATATTTCAAATATATACCAGAGATCAAATACATACATACTTAAGTAACTCAACTGAACAACTGAGCTGAATTCAAAATATTATGTAGTATAACAGGAAAAACTACTATGCAAGCTTCCTGTATTTAAAGATAACGATGAAATTTATGATGGAAAGTAAGATAAAATACTATTTATCACTAACATTCCTGATTTACTGATCAAATGGTGACAGTGAAGTAATGAAAACTTCTTCATTAATACTTGTCATTGTAAGAAATCCATAAACAATTATGGCAAAAAATTCCCAAGAGTCTAGACTAAAGGAGGTAGGTGCCTAATTCCCATTTTATTCTACTGGATCTGGGTGCCTAAATTCTATTAAGATTTCTTTAGAAATCACATCTTTATAAATTTTAAGGGTGAAAGAGTTCATTATGACAATTCAAGTTTGCCATGCCTAACAGACTACAGAAACTCATTTAGCAATTCCTGTATAGGAAGTTTAATAACTTCTCTTTGAAGTAAACCACCTCTTCTAAGAAGCACAACCAGCTATAGTATCTTTAAGATGGAAAGTCTAATCAGCATTGCTAAACTAATCAAATGGTGTATTATGTTTCAAAAGCCATTAAAAAAATTCAATGCATTAAAACTATAAATGGGGGGTGAAGCCTATAATGGGGAAAACCCACCCTACCCCCCAACAAATTGGCCCCTTGCATTACGACTTGCTACAGAAAGGTTCTAAGTTGACAATTAAACACGTAGTCAGGTAAACCCATTCTGAAGTATCTTTTTTTGACTTTTGAGAGATAACAGTCATTAAAAATGCATTGCTTTTTTAACAGCTTGAGATGAAAAAGATATATAATTATCACATATATAATTTATTAAAGCACATAAATCAGCTTTCATTTCATTAATTTAAATAATGAAAACTGTAAATATTAATATTAGGTACAGTTCAGTAAGTACACTTTAAATGAGCTGGAAAAGATCTATCATTTAAGAAGAGGAAATACTAGCTGAAAATAAGTTTTATCTAGAAGTGCTTAGTCTTAAAAGGGTTGAGGAATTCCAGCCTGGCTTATGTCAGAATCTTACTGGGATCCAGAGATACCAGTCCACTAAAATCAAGCCAACTACAATCCAGTGAGGGTCATGATCTAGTGTTAAGTATTAGTGCACACACAGATGGGCTCAGGATCCTTAAAAATGGTGCCTTTCTTTCATGAAGGTCTGGTAATTCCTGCTCCTGTAGCAACTACAATACTTACTGAGAAAGTAAGGGACAAATGTGGGTCTTTGGATTACCAACTCTTCTCTTCCCTATTCCTCCCCCCAAGGCACCAATTACAGGGATACAGGGAAATGTTAGCCTGAATCCTATTAGGCAGAGAAGGAAACTGAAGTCGACAACTTTATCAGCAAGTTTTCAAGCTGTAATTCTCATTACCGCACATTTGGAGGAAGCCCCTCAATTCTTGCTAAGAAAGAAAGGTTGTGCAGAGTCTGAGCTGCTGGAGCGTCCCAGAAGCCGCTCCCAGTGCTTCTGTTCTCGAGCTGCAAGGAGCTGCAGCTCAGACACTCGAACCTGAAATGGCTCTTAACGGTATACATGATTGCACTGGACTGCACTGACGGGTACACCAGATTCTCCAGGAACATGGTAGAGCTTAGGTGTCTAAACCAAGGCTCTGAATTAAATTCTAAAGGCATACCTAAAAATTAGGTGTTGCAGCACCTGTCTTTTAGATACTCAAATTGTTATTTTTATCCCACCTATTGAAGGTGGGAAATAATACTGTAGCTTTCAAAGAGGAAAGCAGTCACATTAAGTGCTACCTTCCAAACTACAGTAGAAACCCCGCCAGCATTAATAAAAAACAAGATATTCTTCAGTGCATATTCCAGCTCTATTTTCAGAGGTTTTCAGGATAGACTGGTACCAGTGAGACGCATTTTTCCAACATCCATGGTAACAGCAATCCCCCTTTTTCCTCGATATTCCATAGTGTAACAGTGCTTCCCACATGCTCTTTGACCACGCAAAACTCTAAAGAGAGCAGCTCACCATTCTAAGTATTAAAACAAATGAATTAAAATTATATGAATTTCTTACACTGATAGCGTTGAAATATTTCACAGCTGCTCATAAGACTGCTTAGTTTTTAATACCTTCCCATCCAACACTTCATTATAAATCAGTAGATAATGACAATTGCAAATATACTACCTGAACAAACCAGCTTGCAGAATAGGCCTTACAGTTGCAGTTAAATACAGAAAGTTAACTGTTGTAAATGTAATATCAAGCACATCGATATTCAATGTACAGGAATCAGGATTATGGCCTGTGTGGGCTAAACACTAAATTTATTTCAATAGTTAAGTAGCTATTTTCACTTTTCAAGCTACTCCATTATCTTAAAGAACTATTCAATACCAAAGGACCTAATTCTTCAAATGTCTCCTGTGCAATATTTTCCTTTACTAGGTATAAAGCTAAACCTGAATTTCCTTAAAATTTTAACTGTTTACTCAGTGTTACACAAAGCAAGTTAGATATTTCTTACATTTTATATCCATTTGCGCAAATGTAAATGACTGTGCAGAAGGGTAAGGCAATTAAAAAAAACAGAGCTCCACAGAACCACAAACCTGAAATAACTATTCTGACTGTATTTTTTAATAATTAGGTCTTTACTGGTAATGTCTAGACCCATCAAGTCAAAGACCAAAGTGTACTTGCTTCGTGTACAACAGCTTCCATGTTTTCTGATCTAGAGAAGCTGTGGCATTACAGCTCTAATTTTTCCCAATGTAGAAAACATTTGTGTGCAACCCCCGCCGATTTATTATTGACTTAGATGGATTACCAAGCTTTGCTTCCTTCTTTAGCCTTGAACAAAGGCTAAAGTTCATGCCTTCACTGAGTAGCAGATGTTCATGAAGTTTGACCTACTAGGAGAGGAACGTGAACATGAACTCTAACTTCAGCATATTTCGCAGTTAGAAACTTACTTGACAAAGCCAGTTCCAAAAAACCCAACAAAAATAAAACACTACTTCACATTATTTACACAAGATAGAAAAACATGCCTTTCTGGCCCTCTTATTTTTCTAATTCCTGTTTCTGTATAATAGATTTCTAGCAGATCTTTGGAGAACATGCCACCGGTTTGCTTGAGAACAAAAAAGAATAGTACATCGTTATGAGCATTTCAGATTTCAAATAAGCTAGATATAATGAAAGGCTGTTGCAAGATTAGCTCTTGCCATTCATGTCTGAAAAATGGCAACAGTCCCATCAGTGTTGAAGACTAGAGGCAAGTAATTCAATAACAGAATATAATAGCATAATTTTATACCAACATGTCAGATTTAAGCTAAGCTAGAGATAATTAGAAACTGTTATAAGATTAGCACTTACCGTTTAACATCAGAAGATTGTCAGTCCCTGGATGTGGATAACTCAAGCGACCTTAAAAGAAAACAAAAACCAAAGAACAAAACAAAACAAATGCAGAGGTTTTAGCTATTATGCTAGAAAAAATAATGAAAAATCACTGCTTAGAATTTAAATATAAACTATACTTCCAGTTTGCCTAAGGGAAATAAAGAGCTAATATTTAACTCCAAGCACATTAACCAACAATACCCTTGACCCAAGTTAAAGCTGACAAGAACAGACTTCTTAACCTTAATTCTCTGGTCATAAGATCTGCAATGTGCTTTGGGATCAGCTCCAATAGGATAAAGCCACTTTTTGTTTCACGACACCCAGAAATAGTGCTGACTGCTTTAGTCTTCTCTTTCATAGTGACTGTGAATAACTGTACTATGCACATTGCTTAACAGAGTGGCATTTCTACAGTTTAGTGCTTCTCTACTGAATCAATTTAAGAAAAATCATGTTAATAGAAATTAAGGCATTAAAATTTTATTAACCAATTTATGACTGTATCTTGGTGTATTACATACAACCATTGTATGTAGTATTTTTCATTAAGTCTGGCAAAACTAGAGTACTGGTTTATCTACAGAATTAACAAAATTAAAGAATATGATAGATAACATTTTCAATATTTTATACTGAATAAAAATTACAGGAAAACCTCATATTCTGACATTAGAATTTTTCAAGTATTGCATTTTACTACATTGGTGGAATGTTATACTTTAATAGTTAAATGAATGGTTTAAAATGCACAGCTGAAGCGTCTGTTCACTACAAATTCCTTTTTATTAAATGAGACGTTTTCTGTTTACAGGAAGCTGCAAACATACCAGTAGCACACACTGACCTAGAGAGACATTTACAACAGCTGCTGTGTTTGGAAGAAGTATGCTTTAATGTGCAAAAACCTACATTTCCATCTATCTTCCTATTCAGATATACTTGCTTGCTTATAGTCCGTAAGCATATATAAAAAAATACTGTAACTTAAACGTTTAAATCTTTTGGAGGAAACAAGAATGTTTGTGGAAGCATTGGAGGAAACAAGAATGTTTGTGGAGGCATAAAGAAGAAACCAGTCTGGAAGCAATGGGTGTTCAGAACTCACACAGGTTTGAAGGGGAATATATGTGCAGAAGGCTTGCAAGATGTAAGTATTAGTAAGACACTGCTGTACCCTAATAAGGCTTACTCTAAAAAGAAACACAGGGAAAAAAAGAAAAGAAAGAAAAGAAAATCAGCAATCCATATGCTAAGGTTGTCTAACAATTCCTATGATACACTCTTTTTTTATTTTCCCCCTACTGTTGGTAAACCCATGTGATTAGCAGCAAGACGAAATGTCTCAAAATAGTAGTTCTGTGTCTCAAGGGACACCTTTGGGGATAAATAAAAAACCTTTTTGCTGAAAATCTGTAAGTAATAGGGTTTAAGTTTTGCTCTTCCCCTTTAGGAAACCAACATGATAATTTTCTACCAAAAATATAGGAAAAAATACACATTATGAACTCTTACACTCAAAATTTCAAAATAGCAAGATTAAGATCATTTAGGGTATTTTATTCAGCCTTATTATTTACAGGCATTGTGGCAAAAAGATTTTTATACAGCCACATACTATTTCTCTTCCCACAGGTTTCATTATTATAAGAATGGATGGTATCAGAACACCTACAGATTAGGTAGGAACAATTTGCTTTGGAATTTGAAAGTGTGGAGAAAGCGGTGAAGGGCAAGGGCAGCCTCCTGGAAAAAGGCTGATGAATGCCACCCAAAAGGACTCTGCTGTCTTTTCTAACTTCTACAGAATTTTTAGCAGGCTTAGGCAAGATACTAAACAAAAATCTTTGTAGGAGCCTCTGTCTTCACGTTACTTATCTTCACGGTGTCCAGTTTTAACGTATAAGCAATTTTTTCTGTCATGCTGAACATTTACAACTATACCTAATGTTTCTTGAAACTATAAATATTCTGCCCTTCTAGCAAGGCATGCTGGTATAATAGGAAAAGAATTAGGAACAAGGCATCCTTAAATTGCAATCTGGGAGGTGCCACTGGTTTGCTCAGCCTGGTGTATAACAACTCACTTTGCTTTACTTCTTAGTTCTTTGGTTTATAAAGGTAATACTCATTTGCCTAACAGCAAGGATTTTACAAGATTATTTACTGTCACCATCATGTTTACATATGGTGCTATAGAAATACTTGCAACAATGTGAGCTGTCTCTTGCAAATCAGAATGCTGTAACAGAAAAAATTTTGAGAAATTATTATCTCATCTTGAACCTCCCTGAGACTGTGGCGACACAGTCTTTCTCCTTGCCTGTAAACATTTATCTTCTTTTCCTATTCAGCAAGGGAGACAAAAGATACATTTTTTCTGCAATTACTACAGAAAAAGAGGTCAGATTTAAGGTCTAGCAGGAGAGAGAAGCCCACCAGTGCCAACACCTGGAGAGGAAAACTGTTTTAGAAGATTGTAAATTCTGGGTTTACAACTCTGGTTTTGCATTCTTTTGGTTTTTTTCCCCTATAGCTTCACAAGTAAGTGGCATCTGAAACATAGGTGCCAAACTGAAAAAGTTGAAATAATAAACCACTCCTCATTAAGTCGTGGGGAGAGAGTGCACTAGGGAGCTGGGCCCACTACTGCAGCATAAAACCTATGTATCACACAAATTCAAAGAAACCCAATCTTTCTGTGTTACAGAGATAAATTTGCTAGCTCAGATAATGAATTATTTGAGGGTTAGAAAGGAAACTCAGTATTCAGTACATGTACAGCTGTACTGACACTTCTTTTAAGTCTTATATACATGGTTATTTCAATGAAATCATACTTTGTATTACTGTGTTCTGGTGAACTTAATACTTGTGTTTACTACCTTGCCTAGTACTTTGACTTACAACCTTCAAAACACTTTTAATACGGAAGGTTTGCTTACTTTTTCAAATTACAATCACTACTATTTGATACGTTAACTTAGGGTCTTAATCCTCAGCTTAATCTGTTGAAGCAAAATGCAGTGTTTCTAGGGTGTCCACCTGAATTTAATGACATACATAAATTTGGAACACTTCATGAATGGAACTGGGTGCAAGATCAGTCTTATATAGAGCTCAGATTACACTATTTTTTAACAGATTATTCTAGTTAAATGGCCATATACAATATGAAACATCACTTAATATATCACTATATAAAATACAGAAGATGGGACCACCATCTTATAACAATTTACTTTGCTTCTATCACATACTTCCTTCTAGTCACCTATTTTCACTGCATGTTGTTCAATGCATTTAAAAAAGAAAAGTACCATTTTAAGAACTGCCCTCACCACAAATCCTATCTAATCCCATCCTACTTCAGTGTCAGTAAACTAGAATCGTATAAACTCTTCGAAAGAGGTTCTTGAAATTCCAGTTGCCTCCGTCTGCTTAAAAAAGAAATTTTAGTAATATATAAAGATGCTTTACTAGTTTAAAAATCAACTACAAATTAGTTAGAGAATAACTAATATTTAAATAAAAGACATATTGCATTCCTGAGAAATGAAAATTAATCACTTCACTGACTGTCTACATTAGCTCTACAGAATTCAAAATTGGTAATGTTCTGCTATCTGGAACAAATACAATGTCTAATATTACAGTACTGTATCATGAAGTATCATGTTATAGAAATTTTCTCTGTGCAAACCTGAACTTGCAACTTCATCACGTTACCATTAATTAATAATTCTCATGTACCATGGCTAAATTCAAAATAGCATTGCTAAGGAGAAGCAGGTATGTTTGACGTTTCTTATGCAACTAGAGTTTTGTTAAATTTATCCCCCTTTTCTGTATCTAAATGTGATTAATGTTAACAGAACTGCCTGGTATGTATTTCTTGCAATGCGTTCTTCTGTAAGGACAGAAAAAAATAAAAAGCTTGCAAATAAATTTTGGTGGGCCAGTTTATCCACTAAATCCAGTTAGAAGTCTTGCTAATCCAAACCATGAGGAAAGTAACAAACTTAAGTTTTAGGTACATTTCTGTAATCTCATGTTACCAATATGGGCGATGGAAATTTAATTTTTGTTGTAAACTTCTTCTGAGCATACAGATGTAGCTGTTCTTACTCACTTTTCATTTCAAGGCAAATTCATGTCTACTTTTGGAAATGCATACTTTCTATTCCTATTTAACTAAACTGTTGGAGGAATCCCCATATAGCAAAACATTTGGAATAGATTTAAGTATAACAACCGCTTTAAACATTGCTGACTCACAGTTTCAAAAGTTTGGTATTTCATGGCTACCCCCTCCCCCGACTTTTTTTTTTTAAAGTCTTAAATGGTTGAATGAAGAGACTGATAATCACAAATTCCTTTCCCATCTTCCTTTTTTCAAGAGTTCTCCTGACTAGGAGAGAAAAAGCTTCCAAGTTAAGCTTTTCCTAAACTACTTTAACAGACCATGGACGGCTGAGGATTGCAGTAGTTTCAGAAAGCTCAGTTTTTGAACCAGCGTAGTTAAGACAACAGCACAAAACCATGTTTGGACAACACCTAGTTACAGAAAGCCTAGATACTACACTTTCAAACGCTTGTGCAAGAATTATGTAAGTCATAAGGAGGGCAAATGTGTTGTCTCTGATAGTCGATCTATTTTAGGCAAATCAGTCTATCAGTCTTAAATACATTATTTTATCATAAGTTTCTATGACAGAAAGAGGAAACAATCTGTATGTACAATTTCAAAGCCTTTTATATCACTAAGAGAGAAGTTTTTCCTTCCATACTTTTTTTGTTCAGCCTCAGAAACTCTTTTCTGAGTGTAGTTTGAATTACTCTAGGAAGCAATTGCATAACTTTAAACCTTAGAGCTTCATAACAGACAATATAAAACACATTTATTTGAAAACAAACGTTGCCATATGCAAAGAAAGAAAATGTTCTCTACTGTGTTGCTGAGTCACTAATGCTTTTCTTTTTACTTCACTGAGCATGCACCAGCAGGTTGCTTTTAAAAGAAAGATGTCTAACAGCTGAAAAGGTCAACTAAACCAATTTAAAGGGAAAATAAAACTGAGAAACAGCAAGACACACTTCTAAGTGCATCAAGTTAATTCTTCCCCACAGATAAGCCAAATAATAGTGTTTTATTTTATTATTTATTACTAGCTATATAAAAAAATATATTTGTGTAACTTTTCTAAGAAATTTTTTCTGTCCTTCACAAAGAAACACAAGAAAAATTCAACATAAAGTTAATGTTCCTTCTTGTTACTCCCACTAATATAGCTATGGCTAATTCAAGTTCAGTACTATCTTACATCTAGCTTGCAGAGCTATAAGAGAGTTTGTCAGAAAACAGAAATTAATTGTAAATTGAGTACAGTATCAATACTCTTGCCTTACAAAAGACAAGCCCTTAAATTACATGGAAAATACCACAGTCTTTACTAGAAAGATGTTTAAAACAGTAGATAATAAAGTCCATTAAATCACCTGCTCCTCAATTCCAATACATATTCCATGCAAAATACAACCTTTCTTCCAAGTTTTTTCCATAATCTGTTTTAGCCCAAATGTATTAGCTTTCCTGTTTCTGAAATGTCTAGGAGTCAAGTTTTCTACATTTTGACATCAAGAAGCACTGGAATTTGGGGGAGGAGAAGGGAAAAAAAATGCAAGTACACAAGAGGTATGCCTGGAGAAGTTAAACTACCAATACCCATGTATTTCAGGCTATCAGTATTGTAATTCGTCTCTCAAAATAGTTTTAAGAGCTACTGGAAGAATAAAAAGGGTATTTAAGAGCAATGATGTAAAAATGAATTAATTTAACTTTTATTAATTTTAACTTCAGTTTATATTCCATTGATTGGATAGGGTAATCTTAAACATTACTTATTGTCTTATTATGAAATGCATTTCAAGAAAGCTGCATGGGAAAGATTAGTTTTCTGCTGCAATGACTAGTGAAGTCAAGCATCTATTCCCTATTAACCTACCTTGAAAAAATGTCTTATTGAACGCTAAAAATTACTTCTTTCTTTTGATCATGTCGGTAGCAATGACTAAACTTTGTCCAAGTGAAGCTGAAACTATGCATCTATAAACAATTTTTTTGGCAGGCATAAACTTAGCTTTCAGTGAATCATACTTGAAATAAAGTTTTTTTCAAGTTCATGAAAGCAAAAGTGGTGAAATTTGACTTCCTTCTAAAATGGATCTTGAAATGCAAAACTTAAAGCTGTGAGCTGGTACACACAGTGTCTGTTCTGCATTGTGCAAAATCTGAGACAAGATGCTTAGTCATACTCCAGATATTGTAAGCAGCTAAATCTGAAACACGTGCTTAAAATTCCAGGGACTTTCTTTTTACTGCTGTGGTCAGATATAAAAGATGCATTGTTTTATTGTGCTTAGATTTACTTAAAAACTTGTCATAAAAATATTCTCTAGTTACAAAATATTCTTTAGTTACAACAAAGTACATTATATGTTAGTAAGAACAACAAATAAATAACAATAATATTCTTAATCCTATGCATTCTGCAAACAAATATGATGGGTTCTTAAGTAAACGTCAGATCTTCTGTGGTGAAAAGAAAAGCCACAAGGACTGAAATAACAAAATTAGTGTTTCATGGTTTGCAGAAAAAAAAAAAGTTAAAGTTGCTAGGAAGTTACAGAAATGCCAACTAATGGTGACTAAACAGAAAAGGGGTCAAGATTAACTAAAAGGCTATTCTAGGATGTGATCTCTTCTTCCCATTTTCAGTCAGTAAGGACATTTCTCGTGTCTTACTGTTACTAATGTGGCTGTTTCAGCTGAAAGAATAAGTTCCAAAGAGAAAAAAAAATCTTAATCAACCAATTTAAATAACAGCACACAATTACTCTATTTAAATTCAGTTGGCATGTGCATTGTTCTCTGGCACTCGAACAAAAAAATGGACTTCCTTTGAATTCATCACTATCTATGGCTTCCATCTGTTTTAGTTCAAACATAAAACTTAGCAGAATTTTCACTGCAAGAGTATGATGATGAAACTGTTAAACAAAAAGTCTTAACTGTAGACTGAAACCATATACTCATGTCCATAGAAAGCACAGAATAACTATGGAAACTTTACTGAGTTTTTCAAAAGTGTCTATGTCTATGAAAATCTTAAAACTTTGTCTTGTTTTATTCTTGCTGAAAAATTATTATTGGAAATACATTGTTTTCATCTATTGTATCATAATGAAATATGAAGAGATGAGTAAAAAGTAAAAATGGGTCTTTTCTGTGTTCGCTGTGCCTTTGAAAACTCTTCTGCATTATAAAGCCAAAATGAAAAGAGTGACGTGGCAGGGGGAACACAGCAACCACTTCCATTTGTCATGTCAATGTGCATAGAAAAAAGTGAAGAAACCGACTGGTTTTAAGAAAGGAATCTGAGAGGTGCCAATGACAATATATTGTAACAGAAGATCTGCATTGTCTAATTTTATGTCTAACAGTAGCTTTACCTTTTAATATCCTTCCTGATGGTAGATTTGGGTTCAGATAACCAAAGAAGTATTAGTCACCACCTGAGCGTGGCAAATTGATGCAACAATGCTTTGAAACAGGGATGATCTAACTAGTTACCTTGTCTTTGATGACATATGCATGCTTTTAGTCCACAGCAGTTACCACTGGGCCAACCGTTCCCAGGTTTCAAACCCTTTGTGTTACTTAGTTATGTTTTGTAAACATGCACAATAGACAGAAACTGAATTTAATAATGGATTTAAATTATAAAATTGTTAAAACTGGAATTAGTTCTCTGTAGGCAGTCAGAAATAAGATATCAGATTTAAGAACATCTAAGAAAATTTAATTTCAGCTTCCACTCTAAAGAGGAGGAAAATTAACTGGCTAACCAAATGTTACCTACTTATTGACACTTTGTAGAGATTTTCAGCTTGAAAAAACCCCCAAACTTTTGGCTTTACGTTGTAAATCTTACAATACTATTACATGCTATCTGAATACTATAGGTCTTCCAATTGATTACAGATCTTAAGAGAACTGTGCGCAGACTTTAGTCTTTCAAATTAGGAGAACACAGGCCCTTATATGCTAATGTAATATATATTAAGCCTAGGAGCCTCTAGAAATGGAGGATGGATGGGAGTAAATAAAGATATAAAAAGAAAGAATTATTTTTTCAATTGCTCCAATACTGAGACTTAATTTCTGCAAAGCAAGCCTGAAGTCTTGGATAATTTTAAAGTTAGATTGTGTCAGTCTAATTATAACACCACAAATGAAGTAACATCTGATCAGGCCAAATAAAATGGCTTGGGCTCCCTGCCCCAAAGTTCAACAGTAAACGCCATCTGATAATAAGTATGGAAAAACAGAATTCAAAAGAGTGAGTTAATGTACCGTGAATAGAGGAGTTAAAATTGAAGCCCACAAATATTAGCTATATGCTTACTCCTGTGGCCAAATTATTTGAACAGACCCCAGAAGGGTAAGAGGAACCAGCATTCTAAAGCCAAGTTTCTGGGCTTCTTCAGACAAACAGAAACTGGACAACTAGATGCATTATTATCCTCCAGGAGCTTTGAAAAAATATTTGAAAGGACAAAAACTGAGTTTATTGGTGGACTTCATTTTCTTTTCAGCTTCCACTGCAAAGAAAGGGAGAATTAACCGGCTAACACTGGTAGCGGTTTGACTCCCCTCCCACCTTCTTTTGGCTACCTCTAACAGAACGGTATGTCTTCACAAACTGAGGTAGAATTTCCTACAACAGACAAGTAAATTTCAAATAAAACTAACTATGACTTTCTTGGGGGAATGGAGGGAAGGATGGCGGGGAGATGGAGAAAAACCTATGAAGACACTAAAGCTTACGTTTCAAACAACTGTAAATCATTGTTTTCAATAAAATACAGCTTGAGATTGACCTTTCATGTGAATTGAGAAAGTAATCCATTTGCTGTTTTAATATGAAACTAGAATCTAAATTAGCAATCAGTATTAATTCAAATATGCAGAACAGATAACTCTTTTTTCTTTATTTAGCATAATAACATACCTTTAAGTGGATCATGCTCTGCTCTCATAATGTCAATAAGGGAGTTTTCCAAAGAGTGCATATTCAGACTGTCATACATTCTATTTCGATCCTAAAAGAGAACAAAATCCTTAGTATTGAAATACAACTTCTGTACGTTTGAACAGGAAACTTGACAGGAAGACAAAGGTGCCTTCTAAAGGCTGTACACTCACTCTGGATATGGATAATCATACAAAAGCTTAAGATACTTGAATTTATTAATGGTAAGACCTGATTTTATTAACCGTAAATTTAATAGTATCCATATATAAAACTAGAGATGCACTGTGAAGAACTCTTCTGTGTACGCACTCTGATAGCCTGTGATTGCCTGTTTCCTTCTGAAGAACTGCTTGAATCAGTTTTAGTGAAACACAGCAGAGATAAACATTAGGCTGTTTAATGAAGGAGACTAATGTCTGTAAGAACTCAATTTCATTTCATGCAGAAGTTAAATAGTGAGTAAGGTGGGGAACTGCAGGACAAGGACGGTCACCTTCTATGAAAGAAAGCATTTTCTTGGTGCTTGGCTAAGTTCCACACATGGGCCCTCAGCCCCCCTGCTGAGACTGCGCTTCCTGGCTTCTGAGTGATTAATCTGAGACCCTCTGCGTACAAAGACTTGAGTTACAAATGGTCAGCACTAAATGGTTGAAGGTTGGAAAACTAAAGCTAAACTATGAAAATGTCACAAAGCTTACTAATAGATTATCAGCCTTATAGAGAACAATTGTTTTGTACATGAAGATTAAGAAGAGTTACCATAATGTCTTACAAATATTTTCACTGAACGTAATAAAAGTTATGGTATTAAATCATGAATGTTTTCAGTGATTTTTATGCTCCCCTAAGACATTTTCTCCCAAGTTTTCTAATACACCCAAGTTAGCGAGACAGAAAAAAGATGACTTCTAACTTCTTTGGTCTTTCTGGGATACCTTCAGAGACTGAAAATAGTTTGCGTAAAACCTTAATCTCTTCTATTTGCAAGGCTTCTGGCTGGACTGTATTGCACTTAAAAGAATCCTGTAATCATGCCTTAATTTTACTGTTGTCTCGTCTCTGGTTGCACTGTAGTAATTCAACAAGGGTAGGATGAAATACACCGCACGCATCCCATGACCATTAAAATTCACTAAAGATGCAGCCATCCACTTAGTACATATATAATGGGGACAGAAGGTATCTGACCCACACTCACTGTGACTTTCCATGACAGTTCAGCAGAACATAGATTAATTTCAAACTATGATGTCCCTCAGCAAGCATTTGTCATGTTTGGGGAGTGAAAAACAAGCTTTGAAACAGAGGTTTTCTGTGAGTCAGAGACTGTGACTTATCAACAACTTTGCAAAACAAGCCATGATGAAACTTAAATTTACTTTCATCTTTCTTGGAACATTTAGTCAACTTGACACAACGTTGGGATGAAGAGGGAGAAGCCTCTTTTTCAGCTCTCTCTCCCTCAAACAACTACAGAGTAATGGCTTCCTGTTGGGTAAACAATCTGCTATGTTCATTTGATCAAATCCTTTATTTTCTTTTTGGAAGCCCTTAAATAATTTTAATGATAAATTAAAAAAGTAGGTTTCTCTTGTCTCCTGCCACGTCCCAGACCAAATGCCACCAACAATTTGTGAGGTGATCTTCAACCTGGTTTGAGTGCCAACAAGTCACCAGCGCTATTTTAGTTCACAGCAGCCTTACTTTGGGACTGACTGGCTTTCATTCAGTTCTCTAGCTGTCCTGAGAAGCAGAAGAATGAAACTGAAGTGACTAATCTGCTTCCATGCCCTTGCAGGTTTGTTTCTCAACAGCATAATGAAAAGAACCTGCTTACCATAGCAAACTTGTTTTCTACAGAAGGTGTGAGCAGTGACAAAGCTGGATCTGTTCCCTGCTGTCCCCTAGCATTCAGAAAGTATCTCAACAGGATTTTTAATGAAGTCTTAAATTCAGCTGAAGTCAGTACTTGGTAGGTAGTAAGTGCTCTTGCAAAAACCAATGTTGAACAAACAGAAAACATGCTTTGCTACTTCTGTAGCTGATAGGGGAAAAGGAACTAGTATTGGTATAAACTGGACTGAACTGTATGTGTGGCGCTTTATCTTTGTTACAGGCTTATTAAATAAGATTTTATTTATTTTTTGATCATTGCTATATACATATATGTTGAGGTATCACACGACTATCTGGCAAATGGTCTTTACTGTATTCTTCCCCTGTATTTGGCACTGGTGAGGCCGCACCTCGAGTACTGTGTTCAGTTTTAGGCCCCTCACTACAAGAAAGACACTGAGGTGCTGGAGTGTGTCCAGAGAAGGGCAACCAAGTTGGTGAGGGGCCTGGAGCACAGGTCTTGTGAGGAGCAGCTGAGGGAGCTGAGGCTGTTTAGTCTAGAGAAGAGGAGGCTGAGGGGATACCCTATCACTCTCTACAACTACCTGAAGGGGGGCTGTAGTGAGGTGGGTGCTGGGCTCTTCTATCAAGTAATTAGTGACAGGACGAAAGCAAATGGCCTCAAGTTGTGGCAAGGGATGTTTAGGTTGCATATTAGGAAAAATGTCTTCACTGAAAGGGTTGTCAGACATTGGAACAGGCTGCCCAGGGAAGCGGTGGAGTCACCATCCCTGGAGGTATTCAAAAAGCGAGTAGACAAGGCACAGCATGACATGGTTTAGTGGGCATGGCTGATAGTTGGATTCGATGATCTTGAAGGTCTTTTCCAACCTAAATGATTCTATGATACTGTAGACTTAACTTTGCTCTGGAGAGCAAAAGCCTGTAAGAAAGGGCTCCATCATGATTAATTCCTAAAACTGGCCCATTTGGTCGCAGATCTTACAGAGAAATGGAAAAGTAAAACATATAACATGCATTTGTGATTCATTTGTAAACTACGCCACTGGCTGACATGGTGCAATGATTGTAACTTCACCCTTGCATCACTCTGTTTTGCAAGCTCTGTGTATCCAAAGTAAAAGGTCTTGCGCTGCTGGAAGCAGGAGAAACAAACTTTTCCCATCCTCTTCACACCTTAGAAAGTTGATATTTATAAAACTAAAAACATGAGGTTTGTTTCTTTGACTTGTATTACTTCACTTCTGGCAGTGGAAACATGCAATAGGCATGCACTCTACAATATAAAAATTGTTGTGAATACACTAAAGTAAAGCAGGATTAAAATAGAGGAATGGTATTCTGCTAGCTCACTACCTACATCGTGCTATCCATTTATGAGTTTGGGTAATATCTAGGTAATCAGTGCTTCAAACTTTTAACATCTATTCCAATTCATACTGGTGAACTACATACTATAAAGCAACATTATCTGAAATTTCACTATCTCAAAAGGAGTAAGTAATTCTTTGGGCACAAGGTTCATTTTAAACCTTTGTGCAACTAGGCTTTATAATGCTGAAACACTGCTTTGTGCTCCCCAAATATGTGTATCATATCTTTGAAGAGCCCAGTTATCTATGCAAATATGAAGCTTTCATTTCAACGCAGAACTTAAAAAGTATTTCAGTAATGTAGGTCATATCAGCAAATGTTTTCTAGAAAGTTCTGCTGTGGAAAAAAATCCACAATGGTTTGAGAGGGGACAGTTCTACTACAGCATGCTCTACTCAATCAGAAAATTTCCACTGTGATTTTCCTCAATCTTTAGGACAAGCATGAAAAGTACTACCACTGAAAATGATTGTTTTAGATAGTTTTCCATGCATGTGGAAATAGTCCTAATTCTTGGGACTATCTTTAGTTTCATTACTTCAACACGGTTGATTAAGCAGTTATCTTCTAAAACAACCTGGAACTACCCTTAAAACAACATGGAAATAGTTCTAATTCTTGGGGCTATTTCCATGTTGTTTTAAAGGTAGTTCCAGGTTGTTTTAGAAGATAACTGCTTATCAACCGTGTTGAAATAATGAAACTAAAGATAATTAATTAGTAGTACAAAGGCATTGATACATAAGCGTATATCTTAATACAAGTTTTGTATCATCCTAACTCCAAAAGCCCCTTTTGTCAAGGCTGAATTCCTGTAAAATATTTTGCATTTCCCTCACCTCTGCAGCTCATCAGTCCTGTGCTAAGCAGCAAGTGAACTCTTGCTGTGTCAGAAGGTCTGTATCTCAGTGGAATGTCACAACATAACACTAGTTTTTTTCCCAGATCCGATAGTTAACTTCTCCCAAGCACTATAAATTCTCATACTAGCTTTTTATTTCTTTTTAACTGTATAAACATTTGAATCCTGCTTGACCTACCGTTCCCATACCACAATCACAACTGCATTCACGCACAGCAGAATTGAAAACACGGTTTTGGTGTAACTGCTTACAGATTCAGAGGTATATGGCTAAGTGACAAATTGTCACATCAACTTAAAAGTTAAGACTATGTAAGGAAGTTCACAGAAAAGTGATAATTATTTCTGAATTTTTACAAATTTACACAATATAGGAGAAGCATGAAGTATCCTACCTGTAGAATGCAGTTAGTGCTAGAAGGAATTTTTGACAATGTCATGCAAAATGCATCTATAGAGTGCGCATTTCAGAAGTCCTCCCCCCATACGTCTAAATGTGTAATGAATGGCAGGAGGGCAGCTTTCTCTGAAGAGCAAGTTTCAACACTAAATTGTTGGACAAATAATTTTTCTTGGCACAATCTATTTAGGACTTCTAAATAAATCCATGCAATTTGTGCAAAGATCATCCTGTTTGAGCATTTGCAGAAACTCAGCACAGTCACTTCCCAAAGCTTATATATTGTCATTTACACATAAAGCAAATACAAGGACAGAAACTATTAAACAGTGAATACAATTTTGCTAATCTTCAACCACAAACACTAAAAATAGATGTTTCATAGTCAGGAAGTTAAACAACTTTGAATTTTGGACACATGCTTTAAACTACCGATCTGTAGGACTACTTCAAGTAAAAAATTAGACTTCTAACATAGGTATTAAATTCAGTAAATGCAAGTATCTTTAAAATATGCTCCTTTACACATCCCCACATATTCCAAAGAAATGTAGCACCATCCAATGGGGGCTGG